GAAGCTCATTCCATGGTTTGACCACCCGAACCGAGAAGGAGAACTTCCGCACATCCAGCCGCGCCTGCTGAGTGCGCAGTTTTAACGGGTGACCTCGGAGGTTGGTCGTGGTAGCAAATTCAAAAAAGTCCTCGAAGGCCAGACTGCAATCCAAACCCTTTACAATGCGGAAGGCTTACAAGAGATCTCCGCGAAGTTGCCTGTAACTCAAAGGAAAGAGGTTCAGATTTACTAGGCTGGTTGCATAAAGAAAGGAGCTTTGACCCCTAACCATCTTCGTGGCTCTTCTCTGGACTCTTTCGAGGCAGTTTTGATCCACAACAGCCCACGGCCTCCAAGCTTATATGCCGTACTCTAAATGCGGCCGGACGAATGTTCCGAATGTCTTAGAGAAAGCTTCTTCGTCAAAGTCCATAAACGCACGCTTGATGGCGTACAGTACGGACATTGCGCTTTTGCCACCCTCGAACAGAGGGCGGATGGTTTTAGGGAACTCGTCGTAAGCACACCGAGGTCCATTTGGGCTTCGACCTCTTGTAGGGCTGCACCGCCCAGAAAGTAGCCTCTTGTGCTGGCGGATCTGGCTGTGTTGCCTAGACGAAGTATTCTACATTTGGCAACGTTGAACCGCAGGAGCCAACGGTTTGACCACTCCTCCAACCGATTCAGGTTCATCTGCAGTCTGTCTTCATCGGCAGGACCCCGAATTACACTCCATATCTTCATGTCATCCGCAAACATTGCTACATCACAGTCTAAATCTCTTGCGGCATCGTCCACGTAGATAAGGAACAAAATGGGTCCCAGAACTGAACCCTGGGGGACACCACTATCGACCATAGCCGGATCTGATTTTCCCCGACCGACGCACACAACCTGGTGTCGACCCACAAGGAAGTTTTCGATCCATTTAAGGAAGTTGCCACCGATCCCTATTCTTTTCAGCTTATGTAAGAGCCTTTGGTGTGGCACAGTGTCGAAAGCCTTCTGGAAGTCGATGAAGGCTATGTGGACCGCGTGCCTGTCGTCGAGAGCTCGGGTCCAACTCTGGAGAGATCGCAGCAGGTTTGTCGTGCAGGATCTTCCTTTCCGGAACCCATGTTGGTAGCTCGATAGCAGGCCGTGGACTTCCAGGAAGTGCATCAGTTCACACTTTATGATCCTTTCCATAACTTTGCAGAGAATGCATGTCAAGCTTATGGGTCGGTAATTTGTCGTCGCTGCCCTGTTACCTCCTTTTTGTAGCGGAGTAATATGCGCCAGCTTCCAATCGACAGGAAGTGTTCCAGTGTCAAATGACGTTTGAAAGAGCATCGACAAAGGCACAGAGAGCTCACTGGCAAGTTCCATCAGAAGCTTGGATGGAATCTCGTCTGGTCCTGGCGACTTCGATTCGTTCAATGCCTCTAATTCTCTTCGGACAATGCCTTCTGAGAAGAGTATATCACTGACGCTTGGAGTCTGCAGTTCTTCTGTGGAGGGAGGATGGAACCTTGCCTCGTTTGTGTAGACTGATTGGAAAAACTGTGAAAAATACGCAGCTTTATCCCTACTATCAGCAATCTCAACGCCATCAGTAGTCCTTATTAAGGGGATTTGATGCCTGTTCCTTGTACTTCGTCGGAGGTAGCTGTAGGGCAATTTTGGGTTCTGCGTTGCTTTTTGTAGCAAGTTCTTCTCGAATTCCCGCCGCGTCTGCATTATCAGCTTCCTCAGTTTGTTCCTCTGTGTCTTGTAGGTTTTGAAGCATTCAGCTTGTTTAGTGACGCAGTATTTTCTCCACAATTTATGCTTGCTGTTGATTTCTTTCTTGAGGTTGCTATTTAGCCACCCAGGGCGTTTGTTTAGTCTTACACTAGTCAGTGGGCAATGGTTGTTGATGGGCTGCAGAAGGACATTCTTGAACAGCTCCCAGTCATCGTTGGCACTTCCCGTAAACAATGAGCCCCAGTTAAGACCCGATAAGTCTGCCCTCATCTGATTGAAGTCGCCCCGCCAAAAATTACGTCTTTTGTGGTCTGGAGTATGTGAAATGGAGAATAACGAATAATCCCACATAAGCACTACGTGGTCACTTCGGCCAAGGGGCGGCATGGAGGCGATCTCGTCTATGTTGTCTGGTGTTTTCGTAAAGACGAGGTCCAGGCAGTTTGCCCTTTGTCCTTCACGTGTTCTCGTTGGGAACATTACATGTTGTGTGAGGCACGCATTTAATGTTTTGCTCAACAGGCGGTAATCGAAATGTTGAAATGTTGTGAGTTCGTCAAAAAATCACTAGGTTCCACAATAGGTTTCCCAACAGGCTCTCTCAGCCCTCACGCTCAGATCTCACTAAGAAAAAAGCCGATTGAAAATAGTGAAGAGTAGCACCCTACTGGGCAGATGTGTTCGCTTTCGTCCGCGTTACCGATAATTTGCCCGTACTTTGTGATTTTTTCAGTCTACTTGCACTTTCATTCATTATCTGTTGACTCGTGAGCTGTGAGTTTCTGAATTGTTTTCTTATTTTCTAAACTTAGGTTCTTTTTACAAATCTCTAAATTTCTTGTTTGGTCCCCAACGATTTTTGGGGTTTGATTTTTTAGCATACAGGGACGGTTAACTGCCCACTAGAATCCCTACAATCAACCTGTGTATTGGCCTGATATGAGTGTTAATTTGGTTTTCATGCCTATGGTGGTTCCGTCAAAACCTATCAAATGTTCGAAATTTACTATTCCATTATAGATATCATGCATTTACTTCCAACTTGCCGACCTTACGTCTTTATGGCAGGTATTGGAGACAGCGGTTTCGGCTTTACGGATTCAGAACCACAAACAACTGTGATTGGAGCGTGGTGCTTTCGGATAAATCACATGCTTTGACTAACAATATAAGGAAACTTGGACCGTTTATTTGAATAACGGAATTGCTTTAAGTGAGTTACTAAAAGGTCAACGGTTACATCGGGAACTTCTATAAAAGGACCAAGAAATGTGCGAATGTGCTTCGCCGACAACACGGTTCTGTAAGTTGCCCTTCTGCTAAGAGTGCTATATTTTTTTTAATTTGAGCTTTTAATTCGAGTTTCCCCTTTAGGTGTTTTAACATCGGGAAAATTATACCCACTTGAGGAAAAATGGGTCTTTTTAAACACAGGTATACACATGGCAGGGCCGTTTCATGATCATTTAATAGATCGAAAGGTGAAACCAAAATAAAAATTACACAGAAGGACGCAAAGGAAGGTTCGAACCCCAAAGGCGCCCAAATAAAACCTGACACGAAGAAAAAATTAGCCGAGGAACCTAGCAAGAAAAAAGTTGAAGAAAGCGAAAGCGAGACTGATTCAGAAAGCGACTCAGAGAGTGAGTCTGAAAGTGAAAGCAGTTCAAGTGACAGTTCCAGTGACAGTTCCAGTGACAGTTCCAGTGACAGTTCCAGTGGCAGTTCCAGTGATGACTCCGAAAGTTCGAGCTCCGAGGACGATAGCAGCTCTGATGAGGAATCTTCATCCGAATCGGATTCAGACGAAGAGAGCGAGTCAGAGGACAGTGACTCTGATGACAGTGATTCGGAGGATGAAAGCGAGTCTGAGAAGAAAAGCAAAAAAACGGTTCATGAGGTACCTAAATCGAAAACAGAGAATCAAAATGAGAAAAAGAAAGACGCAGCACCTGCAGGCAAGCCAACTGGAAAGGACAGTGGAAAACCAAAAAAACACTCTCTTTTCAGCAGACTTAGAAGACACAAAAAGCACTGAGCGTCATCTCAAGCTCTATGTTTGTATTGAGAAGTTTCATATCGTGTGTAAATTTATATTTTCTGACTTTTGTATGTTATTTCAAGTGTTTACTTTTATTTTTGCCAATCACATTGCCGCTCTTATTATTTACTCAACACGTCTATATACAAAAGAGTACAAATAGCTTTCTTTTTGATCAATAAGATGCTTTTGCCGGCAAGGAAGAATGATTTTTACATAATTTACTTCCGTTAGCACATGTAAAATTGTCAAAGCTTCGTAGGTAACCTGGGTAGTTCTTTCCTAATTCAGCAGGATTCACGAAACCCTGTCGGTAAAATTAGTTTTTGGTTCATTAATGGCAGGAAAGAAAATCGAGAATAGACGCCAATTTGTTCATTTACCTTGCGGAGACAATTAACATGCGGTGTAAGTTTTTCTAATCGGGATTGGTTTTCTGCCAAGTGTTTATTCGTGAGTATCCGAAGTACGTAGCATAAATCAGTATATATTTTTTAAAAAATAAACGAAAGAACTGTGACAAATGAAGGTACGTTTTTCTGTCTCGCTGAATGCTTTCGGTTTTATACTCTTGTATTAGATCTTAAACGTAAGTTCGCGTCACCAAAGAATTTGTTTGCTTCATATAAAAAAGGCATTGGGTTTCATAGCTTGGTACTGACAACGCTTAGACGTTACACGTTCATCAAGAGCATTTATGACCAACTATGGCCTGTCAGCCTGTAGGAACGAATTTGCATAATATACCAATACTGTAAGCCTCAAAAAACTGGTAGCTCACATATTATTATTACTCTATTACTAGGGCTATGCTAAAGGACTTACCCAAACTGTGTACTGTTTTTAAACAAGAGGGAATTTACATTACGAGTCATTTCCAAACAGGATTACGCCAGCCGTTTTAGAGAATACAAA